GCATTACCGGAGACCTAAGTGTTTGTATTTCTTGTTGCTATGAAACGGATGCCGATAGAGAACAGGGGGGAGGACCTGTCTCCTCGCATGGAGCTTAAAACCCTAAAACAAATGATTGCGAATAATTTGGCATTTTTAAGATGTTTTTGAGCACCTTGCTATCACAGAAGTAAACACCTTCCCCAAAATCCCTTCTATTGATTTTATGTTTTTATTTGAGTTTTCTGTGTGCTGGGATATGTATTGTAAACGTAGTTTTTTTTGGCAATCTGTGTGGGTATGTGTGTCTTTATAGACTCCGCCCCCCATAGTTGACATTTCCACTGGCTCAGGAAGTGTCTTACATCTATCATGCCACTCAACCTCACCAGACACCACAAAATAAAAATGGGCTCCATGTTAGCCGTTGTCTCTCGTGTGCTCGACCCCCCCCCCCCCCCGGATGCCATTTATAGCGCTGTCAGCTGTGCAGGCAGGAACTTAAATGGGCAGCCTCATTCTAGCCTGGGCGCTGGAGATGGGAAGACAGCGACCATAGGCCGGCCGGGGAATTCCCCCCCCCCCCCCCCCCCCCCCCCCCCCGAAGTGGACGGACATCCGGCAGGCTCTTCGAGGGCCGCCACGCTGCTGGCAGTAACCGACGCTGGTTCAGAGTCGTAAATCACGTAGGCAACTTGGCTGCCCGCTAGCTTGCCAAGATAAGACTGAGGCGACAGCCCCAGATGAATGTCCGCATCGGAAGCCATCTGGTGGCTCTCTCTGCCTTGGCTCCTCTTGACAAAAAAATCTGTGCGTGGAAGTTTACCGCAAACAGTAAGTAAATGGCGAAAAGTTTCACATGATGCCATGTTGGAGGCAGTGCAGAGTCCACTTTACACTCCAGCCAGTAGCTGGCAGCAGAACAAACTGATGCTCAACTATCTGTGATGCCACAGATATCTGTGATTTTGGATGGCTGATCAAGGGTTTTGTGGGAAAAAAAATAAAATAAATATATATATATATATATATATATAGAGAGAGAGAGAGAGAAACCAGATAGGAAAATGCATGCTGTTGTCCAACTGCATATAATATTAGTGTGCATATTGATGTATGCATTTTAATTAACATAGCAGGCACTGTTCACTAGACATTAATTCCAGAATGAATTCTGGCTTAATTTGTTTGGATATTCTTTTTAGCAAGTCTAAAATTTGATTCCCCCCCCCCCCCCCCCCATTCATATTAGAAATTAAATTGGTGAGACTGAACCCCCATTAGCGGTACTTTTTGCAGCAAGTTGCTAATTTGACAGAATTATACTTGTTCGCCTTGTCCTTTAAACTGCATAAATGTAATTTAGCAGTCTGGCTGGTACAGAGCATGTATATCGCATAACCCTGGTGATTTTGCCAGAGAAACTAGCCGTTTGTTCCTTATGTGGCAGCACCTGAAAGGTAATTTCTGCCATACTTGAGTTGAGGGAGGTCTTTAGCTGTGTTCCAGGTGAGGCTGAAAGTTGCTGTTTCAGAGGCGTGTTCGGTTTAAAATGGGGAAAAAAACAACCTCTTTTAATGGCTGTCTGCCTATGTTGGCCTGACAGTTTACTAAAACTCAAAATGTAACTTTAAAAAAAGCATCGATGTATGCCGGTTATGTTAAAATAAATCTGGATCTGTCTTTTATTGTAGGAGCTTAACCCCTGTGACTCAACTATAAATTATTCACTCTGAAAATGTTCTATAGAATAGCATATAATGTGACCTGAATTTAATTATGAGTAGTGCACATATTTCCCCAGTGATGATAATCTAATCATTTTTTAAATGTTTATTTTATTAATATATGTGACATTGTTTACTTGGCAGAAATGATTCTCTTTGACTTTTTGATCTTGGACTAACAAATTTTTTGAGAGGGATTTTAAACATGGTTAGAAAATAGCCATATTTTCACTTTGGGGGAAAAATTCTCAGTTGCAGGGAAGTCGAGCAATGCCAGATTTTCTGTACTTTTTGATCACGAGGAGAGAGTGGCCCATTAGACTGGGATATAGACGAATATTCTTTCTTTAATCACTCTGTGCTGCACACACACTTAAAATTAACTTGGACCACACCAGCCCAGTGAGCTCTGCATTTCAGAGCTGCCACTCTATAAACGCCAGCTATCAAAGTTACATTATGACTAATAAGGCTATCAAAAATTGTTTTAAATAGCAGCCTTTGCCCACAGCTGTACCGTCAAAGCATAGATGTTAAGGAAATTTTAAAGCAGTACTTTAGAAATAAGGCTAGATAATCTTGTGGCCCGTCCGATGGAGACAGGCTGTGAGGAAAAGGTCTGAAGGGACACGTTTGGTTTCTGAGAGTAAAGGAGTCTGAGTTAAAACGCTCTATTCTGTGATCCTTCCTTCGCTGGCAATATGAAACAAGCCTGCATCTCTGTGTTAATGGCAAATTATTTTACCCCTTGGAAAAAAAGATAGGGTAATTGTCTGTCCTCGAGTCCGGGGTTGGTGGCGGCGGTGGTGGTGGGGGGTGTGACAAACCTTCAAGCTGCTTATCCTCATCTGATTGCACCCACGCAGGCTGCAGCCTGTCCAATTAAACCCAGCATGTCGCGTTGTGCCGAAATCCCCCAGAATAAAGGCAGTGCATGTGAGATCTGAAGCACCTGGCGTTTTTACACCCCCCCCCCCCCTTCCCCCAGTTTCTTCCCAGCTAAGCGGTGGCTCTGGGCTGAATGGGGCGTGGGGGGTGTTCTGCCTGGGAATCAGTCACGCCCATTTCATCCCATGGCCCCGACCCTGGTGTGACCTGAGCAGGGGCTGTGGGAAAAGACCTCGCTCCCCTCCATGCTGTCAATCAGAGTGCTGCCTTGCCTTAAATGGGAAGGTATCCCACAACCAAAAAATCACACGCATCCATCATGCTTAGTGTGGTAAAGACCCACACCAGTAAAAATGACCGTTTTTAGTTTGGTAGTCTGGGGTATCTCCATCTGCGACTTTTGCTATAAATACAGATGATACATTTGCCTTTTTAAATCACAGTGGGTTTGTGGGACAGGGAGGATTGGAAATCAAAAACAGCATGGGGGGGGTTGTCTTAATTTAAATATCATAGTACTGGATCTGGGAGCCTCTGAGAAGGAGCAAGTTCTGGTTCCGCTCGAAATGAATGTCTCCCGGTGGTATCAGGAGGTGAACTATTATTTTATGTGTTTATTTTTGGGGGGGAAAAATAGCACACGTTCTAAATTGTTCACGAGGCGCTGATATAATTTATGGCCTTAATGTAGGCGAAGAACCAAGCTTTGACCGGTGAGCAGTTGCCTAGCTGAGAAATCATTGCCGTTTGCTTTTGGTAGCTTTCATATGGTCAGTGATAGAGGTCCTGGCGCAGCAATGTAGTTATAGCTCATCGCTGGCGTTTCCTGGCCTCGTTAGATGCTATTTGAGCCGACTGTCATGGGTCATCAGCTTGTGGGGGCGCGGTTTAGGGGGAGCGGGACTGGGGATGTCTCTTTGAGTCTCTGAGTAGCCTCCCCTCTTATTTTCAGCCTGTTTATTTATCCATTTTGCTGACGGACGCTCGAGCGATGAAAGGCGTCCTTTTCTTACCACCAGACGCCTTTTTTTCCCCTCTCCTCAACAGCGGTGCGGGAGACTTCATCAGACCCTTTGTGTGCCCTGAATAAGCGTGGCTTATTATACAGCCATAAAACCCGACACTCCCAGCTCTGGCACTGGTACCCCTCAGCTGTACCTGTCAACCTCTATGGGGAATCCAAAGGCTGCTACTGGATACAGCTTGTAAAATATATATAAGTGGTCGTTTGAGTGCATAAGCATGAGCTGTTCGGTTTCGGTCGATCAGTTAACGAAACCTCCTAGTTAATCTGTATACCACTGTATTACATAACTTGTGAGTCGCCTTGTTTTTGTACCCAGTCGATATACAGATCAATCGAATGGGAATGCCTTTAGTTTCGCTTCAGAAAACACACCCGTTTTAGCAGGTCGGTCTGTCTCAAGCCCATACACATGGTTTGTTTTGGAATAAGGATAAGACACACATCGTTACAGAATAAGGACCTTTGGACTGTTAATCCACCTGTCAAGCCCTGCTTTGGGCCCCCATCTGCTGTAGCTGAAAATTCAGGGACGCAGAAGCTAGTTAGGTCGATTTATGATCCATTCATCAGTCCGCACCCATTTGTGCTAGCGTGGAAATACTGCCCACAACATCCCCGCCCCCACCTCGGACATCTTACTCCGAAGGCTTCCTCTCTCCTCAGCTTACCTTCCAGAGTAACCTTTGAATATAAAGAGAATCCGTGAATGTGAATGTCTCCATTGGCGCGTTTTCGGTGTATGCGTCTCACAGGCTCCTTGTGGAAAATGAGAAATAAATAAATAAATGGGTCTTCTGAAAAGGCAGGAAGTGTCTTTGTGAGGATGGATGGCTGATTTTATTTATTTATTTAAAATTTGTATTATTTTTTTTGTAGGCCATATGGACAATAGTTGTTGCATAAATGTTCCTGAAGGCCTAAGATGCTTGGTTTTTTCCTACCCTCTCAAACCGCGTCAGCAGAGGCCGAGCGTGTCCTTGTGGGAGATGGGCTGCTTTGAACTGTTTCTACCGACTGTAACCTACTCCTGCGGAAGGAACCACACAGATGAATGTCTCAGTGTCCAACTTTACACTCGGGAACCTCCATACACTGTTTAAAGAGAGCAGATTATGATTATGAACTCAAATAGGCTAACATCTTGCTTTAGGTGGAGGTCAATTTACAGTACCTCTCATCACTGGGAAAGTGTAAAAGTCTAGTCATTGAACTGTTTTTGTTTGCTTGTTTTTGTATGGTGCCTGGTGCTTTGAGCCAGGTGATTTCAGTGTGAAATAGCGAGAACTTGTTGAATTTTGACAATGTCGCACTGATGGTTCTTTCTTAAAATGTTAGCGATTTATCTAACTGTTGTGTTTTCCCTCCCTCTCTCCTTGCAGGGTTCAGTCTTATGATGGGAATGTAACTTCAACGAGAAACTAATTGCTAAACCGTCGAGAAAGCAGACCGAAGAGGGGGGAGGCAACCAAGAAGCCTGGAGGAGCTCTCAGCCAGCTCTGGTGCATGCTGCCCCTTTGATGGGTCGTCCTTCTAGGCACGAGCGAGGAAGAGCAAACATGAGCGACAGACAGAGCAAGGGCAGGTTTGGGGCTCATTGCCTCCCGTGGATGGGCAGGACTGTCTTTCTGTTGCTGGGGCTCCTCTTGACCCCGGCACAAGGAATGTGGCCCAGAGGACAGGTGGAGATCCTGGGAGAGCTGCCCGGACAGCTGGAGGCCTCCATGCACTCGTCCATCATGTCAGACCTGCCGGAAGCCCCTGCCGAGGTGACATCTTCCGTTGGGCTCCCAGACTCCTCTGCGGTGGTGGGCCGCCTCTTTCGGATGAATCTTCCGACAGTTTTAGATCCCAGCAGCACGGTCAAGGTGAGCTTTCGGCGGACGAAAGTTTTCAGTGATCTCTAACTCATAATGGCATCCACTGTTTACGTTACGTAAGTTTCCAGTTTCATTGTCACATGTTCTAAAGAACTCAATGGCATTCTTTTGCCATCTGTGTTGTAGGGTAGGGGACAGGTGCATGGGAAGATAGTAGGACAAACTGCAATGCAATGCAGGACAGACAGTAGGCTAATAAAAGACAAGACAATGCAAGACAGACCTTAGTACAATAAACATACCGGGGTCCTCTTTCAAGAAACATTTTGAGAACCGTGTGGGAGAAGATTAGGCTGAGTCGTTGGATAACGTATAAGTGATTTGAACAATGTTGTGCTAACTACTATACTTTAGCTACAGCCACTTGGAAGCTCCTTCCTCATCCCCCACCACAACTGTGTGTAAATGCCCTTTTGTTGTCTAAATTGGTCTTATCTAGTATTCATTTTGCGTCATAGTCAAGTAATCGTCAGGTTTGACCTTCACAAGGATGGGTACAATCAGTTAGCGAATAAATTCAAGGAAATGCTACTTGTTAACAAGTTAGGAGGTAAAGATCTGAAATGATTAGCTGTATGAACATGTTGGTTTTCTAGCCATTTTAGCTACAGTGGACAGATTACTCCTATCGTTGGTGTATGGGAGGGGGTGGGTAGATTGTCTTGTCCTGTCTATTCTCGATGCTTTCTTGAAAAAACAAAAGTAACACATGACTCGTTATCCTCATAGCTATAGTGCCGGTCTGGGCTGTTTTTTCTTTTTTTTTTTTTAAGAAGAGAAGTGGTGCTGAAACCTATTGTGGCTCTTGCTGCCTTTTCATTCTCTGCTTTCACTGGTCGGTTGCTTTCTCTGAATGGCTTGCAGAGGCCCAAAATGGCCCAGCTATCTTTGTGTGGGCCACGCCGGCAAGACATTTAAATGGGAATGCCTGACCCCGGCGCGGATCCAGGCATTCTCTTCCGCTGGCCCCAATCAATCCGGGTATCTCCCCAGACTGCCCTTATAATTCTAGATCCCGAAGATCATTTATTCCCATTAAATGCAGGTTTTTTTTTTTTTTGAAACCACGCATTTGGTAAAGCTTGTTTGACAGCTTTGGATAAAGAATGCAAAGGGGTTTCTTCTTGTCCAATGTTTTTCTTTCGGAGTGGTACAGCTGTTTCCACCCACAAACGTTATTTATTTACTTATTTTTGCAAACTCTACTAATTACCTTTTGCACCCTTCGCTCAGCAAGAGGAATGTTTCTGGGCAGCCTTTAAAGCAAAACTGAAACGGTAGTGTCGTTTTGTTGTTTTCTTCTTTTTGACATGGCTACCTTCTTGTTTGCATGTGTTTCTCTGCTTGGTTTTAATTTGCAGCAGTGGCATTTCTCCGGCTCTCATGTAAGCTGTCATAAAACGAGAAGGTCGGCATGACGATATCATTTTGATAGACGCAGTTTTAATGAGGGGAGGATTGATTTCACTGCTATTGATAAAATTGGATGGATCCTTGTAAATCTTAAAAACAAAAATTGCAGAATACTATTTAATATCACTTAGTCAGTAGCCTACTTTCCTTTGAAATACAATCAGTCATTTGTGTTTAGTCAATGTCTTCTGGTGTGGAGAACATTTCTTGCCTTATTTATTCGCATCAGTTTTTAAGCTGTAAAACGGATTCGGGCAAAAGCACCGGTTTATACTTGAAACTCACCATTACTAACAAATATAATAACCTTACTGCGCAAGACAACAGAATCCTAATATTATGGAATAGGCCTTATTTTATTTCTGACAATGCTTAAATGTCAGTGATGATGTGTTCAACCAAAAAAGCATAACATTTGCCAAAAGTCAATAAATAATAAACAACACAATAGCTAGCGGCGGTTAACGTTTAAATATCTGTCTAAATCTAAGAGTCCTTCAGCATACACTTCCAGAATCCTGAGACAGATCTACCTATTCAGCATAACTGCCACTGCAGATCCTGTTATATCAGACCCTATCGTTCTATTAAAGTATTTTTGGTGTTGAAAAATAATCAACACATAAAGCCTATTTACTTTTTCTTTTTTTCCACACCTCTGATGCCTTTTAATGTTCTAAGATTCATGTGGTGGTCGAGTATCAAAAGAGTGATGGATAAAAGCAGAAGCCGTCAGCCCTCACTCTCGTCTTTTGTGATAAACGTAGCCTTTGATATGTCGGAGTTGAAAACGTTGAACATGAGGGTTTCCCCTGCCCTTCCATCTCCAAACATCCAGCCTCCTGGCCCTGCTTTTGTTCTTCCGTGCCCATCCTGTCATGACTGGATCCTTTATTTCCTTCCTTTTTATCGCAGAGAGACTGGTCCTGTAACCTAAATCAGGCCCAGAAAAAAAAACCCACGGAAAGCTGCTTGCCACTTGCCCACAGATGAAAACGGTTGTGACTGTGAGTCATTTGTGCGTCTGGTCAGGGCTAAATCACTTAGGATTGGCTAGCAGTCATACAGCAGTAGTTCTTATTTGTTTTGATTCTCCCAGCTTAGCAACTGGCATGTAGCATCAGTGTTTTCTCAGCTCTATATCTGGCGTGTCGGCGAGTTTGCTGAACACTTTCAACTCCTCTGACCAGCCTGACTTCCTTAGAATTTGTCTGTTCATCTGGGCGAAGGAAGGTGCAATACCTTTTTTAGACGGTACTAGCTACATACGGAGGGTAATTAAAATAATTAATTTGAAAATCTCTGCTTGGCTCTTCTGTTGTCCAGAAGAGGGCGCCATCTTTGCCAGGTTAATGCATATACGAATGTTCTTTGGCTTGATTAGTTCCTTATGTGGAAACCTGGAAAGTTTTCGAACATAGCATTTTATTTTCATTTATTCGTTTTTAAAGAAAAAAAACACTTCACCAACAGTTAGAGCAAAGCTGTCGGTGGCACGGCTCAGGTTGTGCTGAAGGATGTTCCCACCTGTACTCGTGGGAGGATGTGGGTTGCTTCAGCACTGTTATGCGAGACGTGGACTCCAGAGAGATTGGTAGCGAACAGCCGGATTGTGGGCGCATATCCGCCAGGGCCAGCGGCTCCTCTGTTTGCATTTCCTCCCTCTATTCCATTGTCTTTCCTTCAGTGGCAGGGAAAGATTTGCTTTCTTTTGCCTCTGAATGGTTAATTAAAGGTCTAATGACAAAGTAATGTTCTTTGGGTAGCTTTGGCGTGCTGCTCATTTTTTATTCCTTTTTTTTTTTTTTTAACATATAAACTTGGGGCCGGTCTAAGGCGGTCTTCCCTGAGCAAACAGGCACAGACTGGCTTAGGTGGAACTCTGAAATGTGGAAAATAACTTAATTAATTACATTTTTTGTTACTGGGGGTGCTCTTTGTTTTTTCTGAATACTGGCCAAATCAAGTCACATTCCTGAAATGAATCAGCTTAAAATATGCTAAGGCCTGCATTTTATAAGGTTACATAAAAAATTGAGGTGAACTCTTAAGCAGTATCCCATAATGTGATCAAAAATGAATAGTGCTTTTCAAACACTTTTACTCCTATTTTCAGATATTTTTTTCCCCTGGCCCCTTGTGAATGGTTCATGGTAGGTTTTCTCTCCTTTTCTAGTGAATGTTTAACTGCATAAAATGGGCTTTAACACCAGGCCCCAGCCGACGCCTACTTGGCCATCCTGTACAGCTTCCACCCCCCCACCCCCTCCAAGCTCCAGAATATTTCCACTGTTAATAATCGGTCAGGCTGATTCTCATCCAGGCTCCGTTTCAACCTCCTCGTATCACAAAGACATGCTTCGTCCTACTCTTTAGAAATATGAATCTTATCTTTTCAGCTGTCTTCAGACTACAACAATGGCTCCCCCTATTCTCAGGCCCTGTCCACAATCCAGTTTAACAATGACTCTTTCTTCCTGCACCGCCGCACGAATCCCCCCCCCCCTCCCCCTCGGAATTTTTTTGTTTATTTTAGTTTCAGAAAGCATATTCATGGTCATATCTGTTTTCCTTGGGATGAAGACGGGTTTGCATCCCCTTGTCAGGTTGCTCTTGAAGCCGCCCAGGTGTATGCCATGGTCTTTACTGGCTTTAATAAGTTACAGTGAGTTTATTTTTAACATGCTGCTCGTTAACTTAAAAGTGATACAGCCCAGGCCCTTTTCTTTCCAAACAATAGCGGGAAATTCCTGCGTCAGTATTCATCTTGTGGACAACGGGGCATTTCTGCAGGAATATTCGGTCAATGCTTCCGTTAGCATCCGGTAAAGTGGCAGATTTGCTTACGGAATTCAAAGAGAGCTTCTCTCCAAGAAACAATGAAAGTGATTGTATTTGAAGTTCCGAATTGGTCTAAAAGTCCTAATTGGTCAGGTATTCTTACTGCAGAAATGTAGTCATTTTGGGTTGATTGTTTTCTCTGTGCCTGGAAACCCTGTTTGTTTAGTCCTGGTGGAGAGTGACATAGACTATGATGTGGAAAAGGGTATTGCTCAAATGACCCTCTTACCGTCTATGTGTGTGTGACTGGACCATCATCCATCATGCCTGATTTGCTAATGGCACGGGCTCCAAAACAAAGCCCTCTCTTTGGCTCGTTGATAATGGATACCGATGGTAGCCTGCCACTTGCTGAAGGCAAAATGCTTTACTGTTTGCTAAAGATATGCCCACAGGCATTAGTTGCATGTCTGAAGAGTTGCGGTTGTGGTCATTGTTGGATATTTTGACATTTAATTAAAATAAATGAATATTCCACAGTTTATGATTTAGACTTATAGACGAGACTAAATAAATGAATTCTTTATTATGCCTGTAAATCATGGATTTGTTTACATTGTAGCAGCCCCTGTCCTTTCCAATCCATTTAACAATGAAGACTTTGAATGGCTTTTTGCTTGTTTTGCTGCTGTATCTGATGTATTGCTGTTACTTATATTATGTTTCCTTGGTAATAATTATTATTTGTTAAATCAATAATAGTTGTGTGTGTTCCTATTAACTTGGAAATTATTTGGACCTTTTCTTATTGAGTAAACAGAAAGTATCAGTGACTTTAAACCTGTAATGGTATTAATTAGGTTTGATTTACTGCAGGTAATTATAGCCACATTCTCCTTAATCATTCCCTTTTCGAAAAAGGAAAATGAGCAGAAGCCGTAGCAGATGCTGTAGTTTGTTCGTAGCATAACGGCATCATTTAGAAACATTAGTTGTAAAATTAATTAGGAAATGGCTGTCCTGTTAATGGAGAGGGGTGGAGTATGGAGAAGGATAGTGAAAGGTGTTTTTTTATATATATATATATATATATATATATATATATATATATATAAAATGCAATGACACTGGAAGGCAGAGTGTATTTAATATAAATAAAATGCAATGACACTGGAATGAAATGCACATCTGGCCCAGTGTGGGTTCCTACTGTGGTATCTCTGTTCCGGTTTGTACATTAATGATCTACCTTGGGACCGTTAGCTCTACATAATTAATAATAGAGGATTTATAAATGGCAAGAAGTCTAAAGAAAGGCCGTATTTGTTTTCCTCGGGTCCTGCGTATGTATTTATTTTTGTAGCGTCTCTGGCTGCCTTTTCGTTATCTGTCCATAGTGTTTCGCTTCCGGGCCAAATCCTGTCTTGTTTAAGGTGATGCTAACCCTCTTTTACACTATGCTGCCCATGATTCCTGAGCTGTCATGCACATTCTCATGTGCTGCAGGTCACACGTCATCATTTAACTGGTGTCCCATACAGTAGTTAAATTTGCATGCAGATAAACAGTCTTGTGTCATTAGAGAGGCTGCTAATTTCACTTGGTATAGTGTTTTTTTTCCCTGGGTTCCGCAGTCCTTTAGGGTTGTCCCCTCAACACTTCAGCAACGTACTGCCAAGGCAAATTTTAATTTGAAATTGGGCACTCACCCACAATGTGTCTCATTATTCTGGAGATAGATTTATAATGGGCTATACCTGAAAGGGTAGTATTTCAGATAGGAAAAAAATCTGAAAACCATGCAACAAAATGCATATAAATGCTAGTTTGGCAGAAATTGAGGCCACTAATTGTTAATAAACAGGACAGGACAACCTCAAGCCGTGTGAAGCAAAACAGAGAGATATCCATTACATCTGCTCATTTACTGACACCTTAATGATGCGTATTCCTGGAAACAGAATGTTTGATTGTTCTCATTTATTTTTCCAGATAACAGAGGCTGGAAAAGAGGTTTTGCCATCCTGGTTGCACTGGGACGAAGACAGTCACACTCTCCAGGGCCTTCCCCTGGAGGCAGACAAGGGTGTCCATTATATCTCCATATCTGTGTCAGATGCCAGTGGAAGCCAGATGTCTCGTACTCCTGATGTTTTCTCAATCGAAGTGCATCCAGAAGACCACACAGACACTGACCCCCTTCAGCTGGCACTCCAGTCTGTTAGCACTGAGGCTCAGCCATTCGTCTGTAGTAATGAGGAACCAGTCACCGTACTTACGGTCATCCTAGATGCTGACCTCACTAAGATGAGCTCCAGGCAGAGAGTGGGACTGCTAAATAGTATGAAAAAATTCTCTGGGGTGGGACTTCAGCACATGAAAGTTCTACCTGTGGTTAACAATCGCCTTTTTGACATGTCTGCCTTCATGGCTGGACCGGGCAATGCCAAGAAGGTGGTGGAGAATGGGGCCCTCATTTCTTGGAAATTGGGTTGTGCTCTGGACCAAAGCAATGTTCCTGACATCAGCAGTGTCCAGACCCCTGCCAAAGAAGGAACTATGTCAGCACAGCTAGGATATCCTGTTGTGGGATGGCATATTGCCAACAAGAAGCCCCATGTCCCCAAACGAATCCGACGACAGCTCTACAACACCCCTACTCCTATTCCCTCCATTCTTCCTCCAACATACCTTGATCCCCCTACCCGTATTGTGCCCACACCTACCTCCCCTTCCATTGCACCAGCTACTGATAGTTTTGCCCCTCCTTTTCGAGGTCCTGTACCTCTCCCTATGAAGCCCACTATAAGGGTCAGAGACTCAATTGCGCATACTCCCACACTGGGGCCTCCTCAGCCAACAAGAATAATGGATACCACAAGCACCCTTTCCATCATGCCTACAATGACCAGACCTGTGTTTGTTGAGGCCACGGCTTCTCCGACTCCGGCAACATCAACTACTAAGAAACCGAAGGTTCCACCCTCAACAAAGAAACCCAGGAAACCCAAGACGTCTACTCCAGCACCCAGAGATACTAGAACCACAACAACTAAACCGTCAAGACGTACAACCCCTTCACCACCTGTGCTTGATAAGAATTCAAAACCACAACTACGTAATCCTATCGACCAGGTGAATGCATGGGTTGGGACCTATTTTGAGGTAAAAATTCCTTCTGATACCTTCTTCGACAGGGAGGATGGTACCACAGACAAGCTGAGGCTGACCCTACGAATGAACCACAATGAAGCTGTTGGGGATAACTCCTGGATTCAGTTCAATAGTACGAGTCAACTCTTGTATGGACTTCCGGACTGGCAGCATGTAGGAAAACATGAGTACTTCATGCATGCAACTGACAAAGGTGGACTGACTGACATAGATGCCTTTGAGGTCCATGTTAATCGCTGGTCACCTAGTAACAAACCTCCTGTTTCATTTATCGCTCGATTCCATGGGGATCCTCATATGATTACTAATGATGTTCAGAAGAAGATCCTTCTGATTAAAAAATTAGCCTTTTCATTTGGTGACCGCAACAGTACCGCAGTCACATTGAAGAACATCACTGCGGGATCCATTGTGGTGGAGTGGACTAATAACAGCCTGCCACAGAACCCTTGTCCTAAAGAACTTATTCGGCAAATGACCAGTAAGATCTCTGATCCTAATGGCAAACCCTCTCATGGTTTTAGCAGCGCAATGGAGCCAGATTTCAAACCCATTAATATCACTGTCAAAGGCACAGGTAGCTGCCATACCTACATGTTTGTGCCACCAGGGGAAATCGCTGTTCCTATCCTTCCAACGGATGCACCTTCTCTGGGTCCAGGACGGCAAAGCACAGATGATGTGTACTTACACACTGTAATTCCAGCCGTGGTCGTCGCTGCCATCTTGCTGATCGCTGGCATCATCGCCATGATCTGTTACCGCAAGAAGCGCAAAGGCAAGCTCACTATCGAGGACCAAGCGACGTTCATCAAAAAGGGGGTGCCCATCATATTTGCAGATGAGCTGGATGATTCGAAGCCCCCACCATCTTCCAGTATGCCCTTGATCCTACAGGAAGAGAAACCTCCCCTACCTCCTCCAGAGTATCCCAACATGGCTAACCAGGAGACTACACCCCTTAACCAGGACCTTTTGGGAGAATACACAGCTCTGCGGGACGAAGATCCCAACGCTCCTCCTTACCAGCCACCACCACCCTTCACTGCCCCTATGGAAGGGAAAGGTTCTCGTCCAAAGAACATGACACCCTACAGATCTCCACCACCTTACGTGCCGCCATAATGTTTAGTGAAACCTCCAGCAGAGGAGGGAAAGGGACTAATGCAGTTCCACGCCAGTGTTGTCTGTCCAGGAAGTAAAGAGGGGTGCTAACGGTTGTACAATATGGGATTGTTTGGGGGGTAGAGCCAGAGAATGGAGGAATTAGACGGTGGTTTGGAAAAACAACCAACAAGAACTTTCCTCATTTTCATCTTGACTTGGCTACAGCTATTTGGGAAATGCAAACTCCTAACCCAGTTTTTTTTTTCTTTATTTTTTTATTCTGGGCTTTTTCTTTTTTCCTTTTTTTCCATTTTGAATGACTTTGAATCAAACTCTACTTGCCTAACAGCATTCTTTTTATCTTCCTCTAAATAATACAAGATGACAGTTCAAAGACTGCAGGCTGCAAATTTTGCTAAGAAAAATCATTCAAATAAACAAGGGGATGGGGGGGGAGGGCAAGATGGACAGTCCTTCAGACAGCACTGAGCTTGGTTTGCCTTTTAACACTAATTGTATCATTTTTACCTGTATTCATATTTGTCTAGCAGAAAGAGCATAACATCAACGAGAGGTAGCCTAAAAAATATACAAAAAACTTATTTTTGATTTTAATCCACTGTATATTTGAGATGTTCTGGCAGAGTGTATTTAAGGATGGGGATACGGGTGTGGGGGTGTGGTGAGTACCAGATAGAAATAACCTGCAGGAAGCCTTTTACCCCAACCGAGATGTATAACATCACATATATCTAAAAGAGCAAGAATTTTCAAATGGTTATCAGAGCGCAAAGGAAAACGTAACTGTGTAAAGCCTATGGTATTATTAAAATGGTCAACTGACTTCATTTTGATGCAGCAGCATCAAGTTTTTGGTACTCATTTTTTTTTTGGGACTGAGTGCAACTTTATTAGACTGATAATTCCAGACTGTCCCTTATTAAGTAGTAAGATTAGTAATTTATGGAAGAAAAAAAAAAATAACTTTTTGCTAAATTTCACAACTGTACATTAAATGAACCACGATTCGTCTTTATGATATCACAAAAATATTTTTTCTACATATGAATATGCCTGTAAAACAAAGCGTAATAAGAATATTTTCATAATGAAATAGGCACACTTTCAGAAAAATCAGAAAAAAATGCCTCCTGCAGTTTATTTTTATGTGGTAAATATTTTTTTATGTAGCAATGCTCCTGTTCTCAAATTAAAAATAAAAAAATATATAATAAAAAAAAAAGAATAGTATTCAGATGATGCCAACAAGTATACAAAATCTATCTGTACCTTGGTAGTCCTGGTTCCCGAAAGGGGGAAATAAACTGACAATGAGGTAGAGAAGAAACATTGTAGGGGCAGGAAGGCATTTTCCTTAACAAAGTTGTGTGGAAATCAATTGAGGAAGAATCCTCAATCTGTTTTTTTTTCTTTTTTTCCACAAAATATTTTGATACAACCTCAAATTGTTTTATGAAAAATAATGAGTAGTGAGCTGCAGTTTGTAAACGCTTAGTTTAGTAGAGAATTGATTTATTATCATTTTTCCTTTAATCTCAATGGCAGAAGTTTTAAAGCTACTTATCTTCATGCTGTTTGGATGGCCCGTACCGTGCGTGTGCATGTGTGCGCGTGCGTGTGTCCGTGTGTGCCAAGGTTTAACTTTCCTTCCTGTTTCTTAGCCAGTGTCTAACTGGATCACTGCATCCAATATTACTGGTGTCTGAAAGTCCTCGTTGTAAGTGACCCTTTGCAATAATGTTAGGTTGAGTGCGGTCATGTGTGGGCTATGGAGCTCAGGGCAATACAAACGCAGCCACAGTGGATCGTAGTGTGAGTACAGACTCCCCGGCACGGAGCTGTGTGTTTTAACAGGGACGGGCTGCCTCAAAATGGCAACAGACTCGGTACATGCTGCTCAAACAATCCACCGTTTAACATATTAAAAATGTCTCGCTGCATAATGGAGGAACGTGCTAGGTTACGTTATCATTATGAGAAGAGAGGTTTCTCTCTGTTGATAAGCTCTGGCTATAATGTATTTTGAAATGCTTCCATTTAACTTGTATTGATTTATTCACATATGAAAGCCCACCAAGGTTTTATTAGACTCTGTCTGTTGTTGAAACTTCAGCTCATGTTGCATTAGTCAGGTACCGTCTTTTCTGCTAAGCTGTACTGATATAAAGCCTTAAAAAATGAAATGGTAGAAGACCAGTACAGAGATAGGGAGTGGCTTTGTATTCAGGTACGATATCCATTCAAATCCCCCATTCCCTCTTTGAGAATGTCATCATAAGTTAAAAAATTGAGATTCATAGTAAGGTATGCATTCGTGGCCTTTTCGTTCCATTTGCAATGGCTGTATTTCCCCCCCCCCCGACTCTCTCTCCAGTCTTATCAGGTTGACTATCCGTGGTAATTGACTTCAGTAGGGCTCAGTGACTTGTGTGAAGCTTTGAGGACAAGGAAACCAAAGAGTAATCATGAATCTAATCATGCATTTTTTTTCCATTTGATATTTCATTTATGAATTACTTATCAGACACAAACTGCTAACTTAAATATTGTTTTCTCTCTTTACACTTTTTATATCTTATGGTACTTCACGACTGTGAAATAAAAAGGTTTGAATCACAAATTGTTCCAATGGAATCCAACCTTTTAAAACAATCAAAAGAAAATGAGAAAGAGAAGAGGGTCCCCTTTTAAAAACTGAGGCACTTGCTAGCCGTGAAATCTCCATGCTTTCTGGGTTTGCAAATTTGTAGATCCCATTTTTACCGGAAGCATTTCGATCATCATGCTAATCATTTTGCAGTGTGATTCCTGGACATGGCGAGAGATTAGCTCTGACTGTGTAATATTTGTTTTCCATCTCATTTACTTTTATTTTGCGTTTGTAAATCTAGGGATTGGTGTGTCAAATATCAGCCTTATGCCAATGTTTTGTGCAGCTCTCTAATTTCCACTGGGGCAACTTTCTCTCTATGAATAAATGAGTCCTTACAACTGGAATATTGAGGTTATCCTTATGTGTGAGGAATGAGAGATGATAAGGTATTATCTGTAAATGTTTGTGTGGTATTAAGTCTACACCGCCCCTCCCCCCGAGTTTTTTTTCTCTCATTAGTTTTTGGTTGACTTTCTCCTCTGCTGTTACTTGACGAGTGGGCACAGCTCCTCTTGTCTTGATGGGGCTGGTTCGGGGGGTTGTGTGAAGTGAGCTTATTGAAGCCCTCAAAAAGGAGGGGCTAAGTGGTGAGATATATATATTTTTTTGTCTTTTCTAATCTTTTGGCAGAGCAGAAGAAAAATGAGGAGAGCAAACAGGAAAAAAGTTTGCACCCTGGAACCCTGACAAATGTCCATTGCCATGGCAACCTAAACCTTACAAAGGGGGGAGGTTAAATAAATGCTTAATTAAACAATAATGCAAGATGAATTTCTTTTCACTGTTTTTAATAGCATTGTTTTATTTATACCACTAGACACTGTATGTTGATCTTGTATTAAAAAAGTGTTTTCACCAAATACTGCCATTCTCCATTATTGCTTTTTTTTTCCACCTTTTGTGTTGGTTTACAAAACTGTGTGCATTAAACTGTTCCTTCATGCATTTGTTAGTGTGTAATGCATAGTCCTTTTTCCTCTGCAAAGTCATTCAGGGGAATTTTTAGCACTATGTGTGATAATGATTAGTGTATCTGATGATCGGCTGGCCTGACCTGACGTACCTCTTACCGTTGAATTCATGTGAGTTTAATATGCATTTCAAGGTGGTGATCTTGAAGATATTTTGAGTGAGACTGTTGGTTAAGATTACGAAGGTATTTTAATAATGTTTTTGCCATTCAGATTGTAGCTCAATTCAAGCTGACATTCAAATTATCAGATAAAATTAAAAGAAAACTGTGGTTTAAACTATATCAGATTAAAGATTTGAACTAATGCATCAGTTAAATGAGCTGCTAATCACTCGGCAACTATTAGAATGGACGGAACACATTTGCTGGTCGTCTCATTTCAGGACGTGAGACATCACCTTAAGTAGTGATCTGTACACATGCTGTGAGCCATTAGCATTAGGGCACTTAGAATAGCAATACAAATGAATCGCATCGGGAAAATACACGTTTGTAGAATTTTGAAAAAGTGTAAGTATTAGGGGAAAAATGTCAGTTGCTGTGCTCATTATCAGTATTGCATAGCACATTGTTTATTTCCGAACATTAACGAGAAGTACAAATATAAATTATATACGTATGCTTTATTAATTCTTTCCATTAACCTTAAAATTATTTTTAATTATGTGATTTGGAACAAACTAATGTAGCTCAAATGAGAGAAGTAATTTGTAATCAATTAGGGGAATTTATGCTCCACTTTTATGCAGTATGTTAACAAGCCTTTTTTAAAAAAAAAAAAAAAAAAAAAAATCATTAGCCTTCACTGGATAATGTAATTTAGTATGGCAGAAAAGGAATGTGAACATTTTTGTACTATTTATTTTTGTATGGTTGGGTGTATGTGCAAACACCCTGGACTGAGCTTATGTACCCTGCAGGGGCTTCCCATATATGGTTGGGTGTATGTGCAAACACCCTGGACTGAGCTTATGTACCCTGCAGGGGCTTCCCATATATGGTTGGGTGTATGTGCAAACACCCTGGACTGGGCTTATGTACCCTGCAGGGGCTTCCCATATATGGTTGCACGACCTGAAAATATCTTTTTTTTTTTTTCTTTATTCTCCAGAAAAAAAAGATTGTTTGCTTTGGGTGCAATTTCCACAGATGAATGTCAGGAATAACTTAAAAACAAGGTCTGAAGCTAAAGGTTTTGATTCAGAAAGTTCTGTTTGTATAATTTAAAATTATTTTGGAAGTTATGCAGCAGCTGATGCAGCAGCGTGTCAAAAAAGTTCATAAAATGCATTTTAAATGTTCACTATTAAGCACCTACCATCGGTATTAGCATTTGAGTTTTTTATGCATTTACTTATTTTTCCTTTTTTTTTATCATGGTTATTCATTTAACACAATTCCCCAAACGCCAAATTCATTTTACTGGTCAAATGTCTCAGACTGTAGGAGGAGGTGAGGTGAGAAAATCGTAAGAAGAGAAGAAACGAGGGAACAATTTTTCAGGCCAACTAAATAATTTTTTCATTAACGGAAACCATGATGTGACGTGTCCAGAGTGTGGCGACAGAAATGGCTGGTAGATGATCAGTCAGCCATGCATTCTGAAAGCCTCTCACTCTGTGCGACAGCTGCAGTACAAGCCAGCTGTTACTCCGAGATCAGTTTAAAATGAAGTTCATAAATTAATATGGTTGCCCAAACCTTTCAGGGTGTCAAGGTACTAAAATATCTGAGCTGTGTTGTGAGAAATGGAGCCCAGGCCTCCACATATGACATATTCGATGGGCTTGTGTGTGGCTCGGCGAGCTAAGCCTCTGTGCCCGGGATTGGAAGGTCTCTGGTTCGAGCCCCGGCAGAATAGTCACATCTCCATAGACACTGGAGCAGGGCCCTTAACACCCCCCCTCCCAGCCACAGGGACGCTGCACGCTGACTCCCAGCTTGCTCTGACCTGAGTCTGTGTGTCTCATGGAGAGCGAGATGGGGTAGGCAAAGAGAAGCATCCCATTATACTTGTGCAAATGGCAAATAAAGGATCTTTTCATATTCAGAGGATTTAGTACCTTACTAATCAAAACATCAGTATGTGCACTGAAATTTATGCTACATTGCCCCATCCACTCACTCGCCTTTCTGAGAATTGCCCAGTAAAGTCAGAGAGGGACTGTGTGTCATATGATCACTCTTACTTTAGTACATCAGAATATCGAATGGTAAACGCTGCCTTCGGCTGAATTACACTTGAAAAATATAGTGACCTGGAGTGATTAATTAATGTTCAGATAACAAAATTAAAATGTTCCGGTACTTGGTTCGTGCTGCATTACACCAGAGACTCTGTAATCAAGATCGCAATGCACCTGCATATTCTATAACGGAGGTTTGTTAAAGGCACGATGTAATTAAGGGGAATCTGAACCAGTTTGTACTTTCAGCTGTTTGTTTTAAGGGAGTCACTGAAAGATTCTTGAATAATACCTTCATTAACATGGTTCTGAATGCATTTGAAAAGTAACGCACAGAAATACAGCAATTGGGTCTAACTCACCACACAAGTGGAAACTGAATGTCAATGAACAGAAGGGTGGATGCCTGATCTGCACCCAAGTTATATTGTAGCCTCATAAATTCATATGCAATAGTTGGCAAGCTTCAGAGAAAGGAAACTGGGGGTAATAGGTAATAGGCAAGTGATTTCTGGTATGGTTTTGCCCATTCATCCAGAAAAGTATTTGGAAGATCAGACACTTGTGCTGGACATGTAAGACTGGTTTGCAATGCTCCAGCATGACTGTGCCCCAGTGCACAAAGCAAATTCTGTAAAAGCATGGTTTGGTGTGGAAGAACTTGACTGGCCCGCACAGAGCCCTGACCTCGACCCCATCAAACACCTTTGGGATGAACTGGAACAGAGATTGTGAGCCAGGCCTTCAAGCCCAACATCAGTGCCTGACCTCACAAATGCTCTTCTGGATGAATGGGCAAAAATTCCCAAATTCCCAAAACTGGATGTAATGACGTAAAATGTTTGTGTTTAGCATTAGGATTAGCATAACGTTCTGCACTTTATGTTAACCTTGACACACATACAAAACTAGCTTAACATATTGTCCAGGCTCTGTCTTTTAAATGGATTTTTTAATGAAAATAAAATAGATCAATGAAATGCCCTAGGAAATCACTTATAGAAGATGGATAAATGGAAATAAATTATGTTTAATGTTATTGTAAAAAGTGTAAGCACTATTTTTTTTTTGTTGTTTCTTAATATACCATGATTAACATGCATTAAATCTTCCTCTGCAAACATAAGCATGGAAATTATTTAATGTGAAATATTAGCTGCTGATTGCATTTGAAAATCTGAAAATTAAATACAGAAATGTTCATCAAACTGTTTAACAAAGGCAATAATGACTGTTAAATACCTAAATAGCTCATAAGCAGAGGTGTGTTACCTTCATATCCGTTATTGTCTTCTGGCTTTTAAAATCAGAGAACATGGCGCTATTGTTAATTAATGTGTTTTCAAATCGAAATCCATTTGCTATGACAGAGCTTAATCTTTGTGGGGTACTTTAGGCCAGCTACGTGGAGAAGAACGCTATATGAAAATGAACTGAACTGAAGTGGAACTGTAGCTAAATTAGTAGATAGCCTTCCATTAAAACCACTCTGCCTACGTTGCTCATGGAGCAAAAAGAAGTCACCTTCCACAATAAGCTACATTTTCAGCTCACTCTGTGCTTGCCTGAACATTTGCACCCAGGCTTATGACTGATCCCAAACATGGGCTTGCAGACAAATTCAAATTTTGTTTATTTGATCCGACTTGTTAGACACTTACCACCACATTTTGTATAGACTATTGAAGCTAAGCTATGTTTTTATTAGACATTAACAAGAAACATCAGACTATTACCTGACAGGCTTCCCATAATCCAATTCCCATTCTGCCAGTGAGTAAAACCCAGTGAATATTACTGATTCCTAGTTAACCTATTTTCAAATCTCAATTTGGCTGTGAAATGAATGCATGCAGAAGTGTCTCTGTCCTTTGTTGTCATCCAGTGGAATCCATCATACTGTTTACTTATTCATGTTGGTTGTGTATGTTTAATGTAAAGGTTCTGAAATGCAATGATTGTTCCTAGTCAAATGGAAATCCAGACTCAACCAAGCTGGACAGTGTAACTCTTTTGCATTCATGTTCATGTTAGTTTTGGCGGTTGCCAAATTTAGGTTGGTTTCGTCATTAATTTCACGAGCCCACAACGCACCCATAGCGCCTCTCCTGTACTGCATGGAAAAGGGGAACTGCATAACCCATTTGCTGCAAGGCTCAGAACTCTCAGTTAATGAATGCAAATATATTCGGCAACAAAGCTAGTGTGAGCCTGCGATTGTTCTCTACCTGAGGGGTAAAGCCGCCCTGGCTGGCATTATGGGACGTGATCCTGCGGCGATGGACGAAAGCTGTAAGGGGACGGGGACTGCAGAAAGATGAGGTAAACAGCAAGAAAGGTGACAGTGGACCCAAACGTTTGGGACCAGCACAGCAGCGGAGCGAAACTCTCTTTTCTATCTGGCATCCTAGTTTATTTTATTTTTTTTGCATCCTCGTCTACATCTGCTGCCTTTTATGTAGCTTATTATCTTCCCTCTTCATAGCTGCAGATGACTGGGAGTGCTACAGCTGACAGCTAAAGGCCTGGGGAATACTTCCTTACTGAAATAGCAAAGTCTGTTTTATTTATTTAGGTGCACAGGGTAGCCCATTTAAGGTGTCAGCTGCATGTTGTGCCGTTTGTGTGATTTGGGGAAAATTGTCAATGCAGTGTGTGTGTGTGTGTGTGTGTGTGTGTGTGTTTGTATGTGTGTCTTTTC